CTTATTCAAACTAATAGGAACTAAAAGAACTAAGGTAAACTGAAGGAACTTAACTTATAATGAAGGAAAATACCCTATTTATATAAAAGTTACTACTGTTACACAAATTTTTTTGTGCATGTGATTTCCGATATTATATGATGATCCGATGAAATTTTGGTACATTTGTGTACACGTCGATTTCTGATGTTACGAGACGATTTACGCCGATGTATAGTTGCTGATTTGTGTATATCAGTTAGCTATATTAAAGATATTGATTTTATATGATAAATTTACTTATATATCATTTTTATATTTATTTTAATTTATTCAATTTATTTATTTATTATTAGATATTTTCTTTATTTGTATTATTTATACGTATACAATTTTATTAGAATTTATTAGAAGATAATTGTGTGAGAATTAGTTCAATAGTATTAATTGTCCAAAATTATCAATTGTGTTCTATTTGAAAGTGGCTTACAATAAAAATTATCGCTATTGTAATATGGTGATGAAACATTGACAATTAGATATCTATAGATTAGATTTTGCCTTTGATTGTTAGAAAAAGAGATGGCAGTAAGATATAAATATGCCTCTACCAACTCCATAATAGAATAGTGACCTATATAGTTGTTCTTGAGAATTTTCCCCTATCACCTTTATTCGTTTTATTGTAAACCGAAAGTGTCCTTTTTTTATTAATAAAATCGTTACGTTTTGGCTATTTACATTGTTTCTATATATTCCATATAAAATTTATTTTATATATCGCATATTACTATTAATCATGTTTTATAGTTGTTTACCTTGACGATTCTTAACGAACAATACCGGAAATACCTTGGATAGGTAGTATAGTAAGAATTTCGTTGGTATCCGTGTAGTTATATGATATAAGTCATCCGCCATTCGTCTCTTAATTACCATCATTATTCGATAACACTACATATAAAGATATAATAAATATAATAGATATAATAAATATAAGAAATATAACTAATATAATAAATATAATAAATAAATTAAATATAATAAATAAAATAATTATATCGTTTATATTAAATATAATTAATATAATAAAAATAATAGGCTAAGTTGGCTGCAGCTAAGTCAGCTTGGCACAGTTGGACACAGTAGATCCTAATTTTCCACATGATCTTTTGGCGTAGTAAGTTGTAACTCTACACGTGACTAGGGGTAACAACAGTTAGTTGTAACTGTTCATTAATAAAATTAAAAAAAAATAAATAAACCAAAATTCATATATACTTATGAATCTTAGTTCTTTTCCAATTTTTGGAATTCAGAAGTTCACTGAACCTAAAAAAGAAAGAATGGTTAATAGTAATCATTCATTAATAAAATTAAAAAAAAATAAAATAAAAAATCAAGGTTCATATATACTTATGAATCTTGGTTTTTTTGTTCTTTGATACTTGGAAGCTCCTCCCAAGATACTGAACCTATAAAAAATAAAAGAAAAAGAACAGTTAATAACTGTTTATAATATTAAACAACAAACAAAAAAAAAAACAAGTTTTGTACTTACAAAACTTGTTTTTTCATTCTCGCAATGCAAACTCTTCTAAGGTAGCAGGGCAATTGGATTCTTGGGTTTCCTGGGTATCCTCTTCTATAATCTGGAGTGGATCTTGGATCTCACATTTGGATTTTCTGCATCGCTTGACAGTTCAGCCTCTTTGTTTGGATAATGATCAATTCTTTGGGATTCTTCAAAAGTCATCTGAGAGCTGAATCTAAAAAAAGTAAAAAAGAACAGTTAGTATTAACTGTTCATATTAAAAAAAAAAAAACTTTAAAGTATTTGTACTTACAAATCTTTAGGGTTCTGTACTTCAGAAGTCACTTGAAAGCTGAAATTAAAAAAAAAGTAAAAAAAAATGATTAGTATTAACTGTTTATATTTTATTAAAAAAAAATAAAAAACTCCAATGAATTTGAACTTACGAATCTTCTGGAGTTTCTGTAGTACTTCAGAAGTTCATTTGAGAGCTGAAATTAAAGAAAAGTAAAAAAAGAATGGTTAGTAATCATGCATATTAAAAAAAATAAAAAAAATTCCAATGAATTTGTATTTATGAATTTTTGGAATTTCTGTACTTCAGAAGTCCACCTGAAAGCTGAAACTAAAAAAAAAAGTAAAAAAGGAATGGTTAGTAACTGTTCATATTAAAAAAAAAATAAAAAAAAAGACAAAAGGAAGTAAAAAGGAAAGGGAAAGGAAGGGAAAAGGAAAGGAAGGGAAAGGAAAACAAAGGAAGGGAAAGGGGATGAAGGGAAACAGGGATGAAGGAAAAAAAAATGAAGGAAGGAAAAAGGAAGAGAAAGGAAGAAAATTAAAAAAGTTTAAAAAAAGGATGCATAAGATGATCCTTTTTTAAACTTTTAATATGTGTATTGCATAATGTGTAACATTTAATTAATATAATTCAATATATGTCTAATCATAGATCATCAAATATATCAAATATAGGCCAAATTGTATTAAGGCTGAATATTCCAAGTCAATTGTTATTGTTAATAAGAAATCAATAAAAAAAAAGTATTGATCGATTTATGTTTTTTTTTATGTTACAACAACTAAAAATTGACCAAAAATCGACCAGTTGATTTATGCCAATTTTTGTAATTAGCCAAATGTGTGACAGATCATGTGATTGATTTGCCAAATTATTGCTGGAAGGTCTTATTGATGAAATAAATGATTTCGACCAGTTGTTATGCAATTTGTAAAAATTAGACTAATTTTAATTCTACTTTAATATATTACAGAAATTTGTTATACAGGACATAATTGAATTGGAGAAATACATTAGAAAATGTACAGTAAGTTCAATACTTTTTGTGATTCTTTATTTAGCACATAAAGCATAAATCAGATATTTATTTGTTATTATTAATTATACTAAATTTAAATAGGATTTCATTAATATTTTTTTATAATATACAAAATTTTATCCTAAATAAATGAATATATAAATTAGATTTAATTACAATTAGGGATGCCAAAAGTTCAGTTATAACCAATTATAACCAGTTTTTACCAGTTCAGTTATAGTTTAGTTTCAGTTCAAGACTAACCAGTTAACTGTCAGTTTTATATATAAAAAAACTGACAAAAAAACTGATTGGTTAATCATATATTCCAAAAGAAAAAAAATGTTTCTTTTATTAATTTTATTGAAAATACAAATTATGATTTTGGTGTTTATATATATATATAGTATTCTTATTTTTGAAATAATAAGAAAATTTATCTTTTAAGTGTAGATCATGTGATTTTTTGTTCTGCTAAAAAAAATTGCAAAATTGGCATTATTATTTTAAAAAAAAAATTATAACTTTAAGGAATATTATCAAATAAAATTATAATTAATACTTTCTAACACTAGCTCGTTCAATTTTGCAGTAGTTTTACAATCAGTTTTGCAATTCAGTTTTATTAGTCAGTTTTCAGTTTCAGCTGAAAACCACAGTCCTAATTACAATTTGAGCTAAATTTATTGTAGTGGAAATCTGTTAATTTAAAGACCTATAAATTCCATGGAAATTGGACAAGTTTACAACTAATTTCTGGGATGCACATTTTAATAAGATTTAGTTGAAATTATTAACAAATCAATAAGAAATTGGCCATGTATACAAAATTTCTTGGTTGTAAATGTATTGTATACTACCTCACTTTGACCAGTGCTTATTTTCATAGAATTTTTGAGAAGTTATATAATACAATCACTTATTTTTTGGTAAATTTGTATTGTCTAATAACATATTATATAACATCTAATGTAATGATAATTATGCAAAGTTAATAGGGAATTAAAAAATTACTGGGATGGATATTTTAGCTAAGATGATATTATTAAAAAATGAAACATTTGTTGCAAAATAATAAATTCAAGAAAATGATCAAATGATTTTTGTACAAAATATAATATTATAAAATTAGGGAATTGAGTCGACCAAATTAAAATCGATTATGGTCGATTGAGTCAAGTGACTCAACTAATGATTTTGCGTATCGAGTACTATAATCGATCATGATACTCAACTAAATATAATCGATTAAAATATTAAATGATATAATTGGTTAAATAAATGTGATTAAATCTTAAAATAGTAACTAGTTTACCTTGTAAAAAAAAGGTTCTTTCTTTCATGCTCCTCTACTTGAAGTGTTAAACTCTTTTAACATTAACTTGCCTCCAAAATGTGCAAATAGTTCCACTGAATCTTTACACACATCAAAACATTTGGCTAGTAATATACAGATGAACAAGAGCCACAAATTTCTCAGTAGTCATTTTTTCGTCATAATAATTTACTATAAAGTACTATAATCGATTAATTGTTCGATTAATTATTCGATTTTATTTGATCGAGTGTACTTAATCAAATTTTAATCGATTACTGCTTGTTAGTCAATTTTGTTCAATTTTGCCAAAAAATTTTTAACCAATTAATCAAACAATGATTTTTGGCGTCAACTCAATTCCCTATATAAAATCATATGATTAGATTGCTTATTTTTGGGCAATTTATGAAGTCACATGTTGAGTTTGCTTATTTATCTTAATAAAAAAATTGCGTAGAGCTATTATAAAATTTTTGACCTTTCTTGTTACCTATATATGTATTGCTCTAGGTCCTAATAATGGCTGTAGTAGCAGTTATAAAAATTTAAATGGAGAAAAAATCTTCACAACGAATCAAGATAAATTTTATTTGAATTTATAAATTTATTAAATACAATTTATTCATTTTAGTATAACACCAAAAATCATTAGTTTTTATAGGTTGGTAAAATTTTCATATTTTTCTCATTTTTATTTGCACGTATCAATTGTACTACAGTACATAATGATTCACATTATAATCATTTCTTTTTCAGTCAATCATCTGGATACATACAGGTTACGGAATATGTTATAATATATTCCCCGATTTTGAAGTTGTACTCAGGGGGTATGATTAACAAAGGAATGTTTACAATAACGGAATATATTCGTAATCTATTTTCCGAAATGTATTATAACAATGGTTCATTAGTAATCCATGTTAGAATACACAGCTGTACTAGTGTCATTTAAAAGAGACGCAATAGAGATTCTTGAAGAATCATTTTGACTGTTAGAAGGGAGAGTATTCTTATTTGTAGTGGGAAGGGGAAGAATGAAAACTTGTTTTTGAACTACAGTTTCTCGTATTTGTTTATGTTTTTTAGATTGTTTCAAAATACTTTTTTGCCTTGAATTCCAAAAATTCCTGACTTTATTTTCGGAATATCGCTTGTTAAATTGATTTTCTAAATCACGAACCAAATGTTTCCAAGGAATTATATCGCTAGATGATTGATGTTTTCCAGGCCGTTTAAGGGTATTATCTTTTTCATTATTCCCTAAAGGATCAAGGAAATATTAATTAAAGAAAAATCGAACATATATAAATTTGAATTACTTACAATTCATATTATTTTCATAAAAATAGAAATTATTAAAATTTTTTTTAAACACGTTTGTTCTTGATTTTTGATGCTTAACAATCCATTCAATAATAAAATTCTTTTCACAGCTACCTAAGGGACCGTGGCATACTATCAAAGAAATTATAAAAAAGTATTGAAATAATTTTTTTTTTTTTTTTTTGGAATAATGAATGTTTATAGGACGGTAGGTAGTGATAACTTTACATACATTCTGGGTTAAGATAATTTCTCCAACTAAATTAATTTAATTAATAAGAAAAATTAAACAAAATTTTAGAAATATAAATGAAAATTAACTAATAATATTTAACTTACTAATTAGAAATTTGTTTCGGTGTATATTTCGGGATTAGTTTACTAACTCTTACAAAACGATTGTGATAATGTCCATTCTCTTTCATATAATTTCTGATACGTTCATTATCCTACAAGGAAATTACATTTTTGTTAAGCCAATTTTTTGTGATAATTTTTTTCTTTAGAAAAAAAAAAAAAATAACATACTTCTTCATTAAACAAAGGATTTTTACTACGGACCATATCGTATATTAAAACGAAGGAATTGCTAAAGAAAATTTAAAAAATGAAAAAATACAAATCGCATGGAAGAGAAAAATTACAGTATTTGAACATTTTCAGAATTACTGTAGTCTCATGATTTGACTGTCATTTTACATAATTTTACATACATGTAAACAAAATAAAAACAAAGAAATTTGGGAAGTCATTTTGTATAGGGAGTATTAGTACCGGCATGATAATTTACCCAAGCGTTTTATTTTTGTCAAGTTTTCTAACTATTTTTAGATTTTCATTATAATTTATTTTGTATGAGTTTGTTTTAAGAAACTGAACAATAAAATCTTTTTTTAGTTTTACAGTTATTACTTTCAATTAATTAACAAGTAAGTTAAGGTAAATTAAAAATTTTTATCATATAATGTTGAATTGAGATTGGTACAGTTAAACAGTTGATTATTTGTTACACATTGCTAAGTAAACGTTGTGATCCAATTTGGAAATTAATATAAAGTCAAATGCATCATTAAATAATCCCTTCCAAATTACATTTTATTTCTGAGAGTATACGTACTGTATTTTCAAATGTTACCGTTATTTGCTTTAATTTATTTTCTTTTTTTTTGAAATGCTGACGGATTGGCAGCTCTTTCAGAATTAAAATAAAATAATTAACTATATACTACATGAAAGAGAATAATCATGTTATGAAACATTTTTCGCGCAAAAGGTGAAACTAATCTCCAAGTCACTTTGTAATAATCAGTGATTATAAAAATATAATTAGTTAAGATGCGATAAAAAAATAATCAACAATCAAAACCAAAATTTTATTATTATCAATATGGTCAGATCGTCATTATTCGCCGTTTTCAAAATGATGTACGCGGTTAAATTTGAATAAAAAAAAAAGAAAACCGAAAACCGGATGAAATATGGACAATAAACGGATGAAAACCGGGCGAATATTGGTATTCGAATATACAATCACAAATAAACTGCGTACACCATTTTGAAAACGGCGATAAATCGAAATATTTGCGCTCTGCTAAAAATTCTTTTCGGTGCTTTAATTACCTTGACTGTTCATAATTAATGTCAGGAAAATAGTAGTTATTCAGACCTTTAATCTAGGTTAAATAGTCTAGATTATTTCTTGTATTTGAATTTGATACCTTTGATGATAATTAGCCATTTGATATTAGTATCGTTTCAGAACAGAAAAAAAGAGAATTCTAAATGAGATTAGCTGTTTTTAATTTTGAAATTTGGCCTGCTCATCGTATAATAATTCGGACGACCGCACAAAATTTTGTTTTCTTTGATCTTTCCACTATAAAATCATTCCCTATAATTGTGGTTTCAACATCATTAGGTTTGGTCAATTTCATTCGTCCGGAAATTCCACTGTAAAATCAAATGGTATTTAACAATTATAACATTAACATGTGAGATATATTAATTAGTAAAAATACAAGTTGTGAAGAAGTATAAATTTAGAACCAATAGAAGACATAGCTGGTTAATCCGTTAACTTTCTAGTTAGATAGTTCCTGATTATACAGTTATTATTGCTAATTATAAAGTACGGCAGGTACTAAAACCATAAGTTGAAACAGCATGTTTTTAGGAAACATGTACTTTGTGTGAAATCATGGATTAGAAAAGCTAAAGATAAATGGCTAAAATAATCAAAGATACATTACATGATTAACCTCTCTTTATATCGGAATTGGAGTAATTCTTCGTCATGAACGCATCATGTCAGCCAAATAGGTACTATCCTCATGACATCTGTCGAAAAAGGAATAAGATGGTAACCAAAAATAATACCATTGGTAAATTTTGAATTAAGATACGCTACTAACCTTTAAACGCTTCTTTTCATAATTATAACTATTTATTATTCAACATATTATAAAATAGATTATGTCAATAAATTGGTACACAAAATTGATAGTCGCTCGTGCGAATGATAATAAGGAATATATAACTCACTATACCTTGTTATTATTAGATAAACTTTCGTTTTGTTGTTCAAAAACAGTCGTAATTTAATAGCAAGAATATAATAATAATCAAATGATCTTTAATCATGGTAATATAGAACATAATCCCATTTATCGAATATTCGCCACGCTCTCCTGTAGCCCCTAAAACTGCTCCGATTACACCGAACAAACAGACCCCCATTTAACCAGCTTAACCTATATAACAATTAAATCCGATTGAGGTAGATGTTTCGTCTTCAACCAAGCGCACTCATTCTGATGTCGAATCTTCGACACAAGAAAGCTCCTGCTCTGGTAACGATGATATCATCAAAGAACAATCATGTCACCATCTATATTGAATGAAGGAGGTAGAACCGTGGAAGTTAGTAAGCAAAAGAATATACAACATTTAAAAAAATTATATAACTCAATACTTTTCATATATACCTTTCGTTATCCCTTTATATGACCAAATTTTTCGGCGAAATTGATTTTTTTACTTTCTGAATAGTAGATTTCCACATATGGTGGGCGGATAACGATTACATAATGGTTATATTAATCATATATGAGAAAAACCATCTTAATAGGTCCTACTTTTTAAAAATAAATAATAGTTAGCATAGTACACTTTCCTCATTGAAAGACATAAATTTACAAAAAAACAAAGATGCGAGAAAAAGGCCGCCTACCAATTTAAAAAATTACCAACAAATTATATTTTTTTTCTCCTGGCCTTGCAGTATTTGAATAATTACTATTAAATGAAGAAATTTTTGCTAATAGAAAAATAACATAAATAATAGGAATTCCACTATGAAAGGATTGAGACAATAAATTATTAGTAATAAAATTAGGTTAAATTATTAATCTAGCTGGACTTAAATAATAATACTAACTAATAGCGTTGCCAAATAATGGATATTTAACTTTGAGATAGTCATAGCTGAAACAAAAGTTCTAATCAAAATTTCTTATAAAGTAAAATTAGAGTTTAATTTAATAATTTATCCGTTCCTAGGAGATTTTGCAGTAAAAATTAACTATTGATTATACTATAATAGACGGATTTAAAAATTTGAGCAATTCAGAAAGATTTGCATTTTCCAAATGAGAAAAAACTTTCTTTAATTTATTCTAATCTCAATATTATTTTCCAAGTGTATTGGTAATAGTTCCGAAGCTTTTTAAAAATTAATCATTTTTTTAAAATCTTTTAAAATGAAAAAAAAAACCAAGCGAAAGAAAATAAGATTCAACAATAAAATACTGTATACTAACTATATTTATACTCGAGATATACTATAAAACACTTACCATTGTGTAAATGGCAGGGGGATAAATTAATTATATCTTGGCTAATAAATTTACTTTAGAATTGGAACATGATCGGCCTATCGGCCGATCATTTATCCGATTCTAGTAAAATTTTACTTATTCCTAACTAGTCAGGATAAAAAATCAATTGGAAATTCCTAAGGTAGCGTAACATTAATGCATGGCATGCTTTAATAAAAAATTTTACGTGAATAAAATCTGAATTGTAAATTGGTTGATAATATATTGGTCAATTAAATGTCACACAGCGCATCAAATTTTCTAAAAATAGTTTTACTATGAGGGACTATGGGGCAAATGATAACCCTAACAAAGAGTTACAATAAAAAAACGGTAAGAAATTTTACGCAGTATAAAAGATTCGAAAACAACTACATATTTTGACATTTTTATTCATATACTTATATTCACTATCTCGCTTGTAATTAAATTAACTGAAATTTACTATTATAGTTTTTGCGACTTAGCCACGTTCTTTCAAGAATTTCTATTTATTTCTTTAATGATACAATTTATATATCAACAGCATTTTTCATATTATAGTATATAATGTTTAATTTATTACAGCCAGTACTATGTAATGAGAAAGAAGACGTATGACTTTCTATGTACCTTTAAACGCTATCCCACGTTTTAGAAATGATTTTAAGTTTGAAAGTAAGCTATACGATTGGATCACCTGATATATGTAAAATAAATTGTACAAATATGTTGTTAGGGAATTTTAATGGTTTTATATAAGATACGACAAATTTGAGCGCGTTAATTTTCTTATAATTTAATAAAATTAAAAAATTGATTTTTTCGATGTAAATCACTTTATATAATTTTAATCGATACAAAACTTATGTCATTTTGTACATCAATACCTAAATCGTACGTCTAACAATTTTTTTAATAACTTTTTAAAAAACAAAATTTTTTTTACTTGTATGCCAGTAGCATAGCGGACATGCTCATATCACCTTGCCGATCATTTGCTGATCACTAATTCCGGATTTTAAAAACTTATTGCAAAATCACAAATATTTTTCAAATAATGTGGCAAAAAAATAATGG